AAATAGAGAGAGAGATAGCAGTGGACGCTTGACTGGACTGGCAGTTCCGCTTCCCTTCTTGGTTCAGCCCTCAAATTAGCCCCTTTTCCTTTGCCATTTGTTCAAAATTGTTTTTTTGTGGGATATTTGAATGTTTTTGTGGGATATGTGTTGATAATTTACATTGCCATTCCCATTGCTTACTGGGGTCTAGACTTGTACAATGCACACAGATTTCCAATATTCTCTTCACATTTGTTTACAGCTCAAGGAAATAAGTATGATATACCAGCTATAGTTAATGACAAATTCGAGCTAGAACTACCGAAGTATGAGGAGCAAGGAAAAATTCATTTAAGCATGTTTTTTGCTCTGACTTATGGCTTTGGTTTTGCGACCATTGCATCGACTCTTACCCATGTGGCTTTCTTCTATGGAAGGTAATCTTTTACTCACAAAATCATTAGTTGAGTTTCTTCATTTCAATCATATTTCCCCCAACAAGAGAGCCTCTTAGAAGCCTTTTTCCAGCTTTCTTCAATTATGTTGTTTTTCATTGAATATGTTGATCAACTGGGAATTTGGTATCTACATAGTATCATGTTCTGAATAGTATCATGTTCTGATGTATCCACAGGGAGATCTATGCAACATATCGTGCTTCTTACAAAGAAAAGGAGGATATCCACACCAGATTGATGAAAAGATACAAGGACATTCCTTCCTGGTGGTTTCACTTGTTATTGGCTGTGACACTCGCAGTTGCTCTTGTTCTCTGCTTAGTCTTGAATGATCAGGTTCAAATGCCATGGTGGGGACTCGTCTTTGCCAGTGCTATGGCTTTCTTCTTCACACTCCCAATCAGCATTATAACTGCAACAACAAACCAGGTAATTTATTGAACTTTTACCCTAACTTGGAAATCTAAATCTGAAAAAAGTTAAAAGATTAAAAAAAAAAAATTCCTATACTGCACGGTCTCCCAGAAGTTCTCATGCATTCTCCCAAAGGATAAGGTGCTGCTATGTAATGGGTTTTGGCATGCAATGTTGGTACCAGCAGTGAAGAACCTCTTGTTTGAGAACTTTGGCCTCAGTTCAATGGATATAGTGGCCATTCTTTTCCCAATTTCATTCTCTACACAAACTTTTACACTTTTGTTTTCATCACTAACAATCTGATAATTCTGTATAAGACACCAGGGTAACTAATCACGTCGAGAGTATGTTATGGGTTATATATCCAGGTAATTACCATAGCCAATGTATGCTTCAAAACCTATGGTTATATGAAAAGCATGGCGCAGGCTGTCCTCCTTCCCTCACGATTTCAAAGCTAGGAACAACTACATGAAGATCCCCTCCAAGATCAATGTTCTTGGTTTCAGGTAATTTCTTCTTGGCCAATCTTGTATCAAAAAGCACGCAAAAAAATAAAAGGGCAAAATCTGTGGAATCCAGTCAAATGTTATATTGAATAAACAATTTGTTTAGAAAGCCTTTCTACCCGAATGACCTTGCAACAATTTAAAGTGTGGATATTTACAAGTTTGAATAAGAAAACTTGATCTCATAAGACAAACCCTTGATTTTATCTACTTCTTCTGCTTCTTCTTCAGGAGAATAGCAGATAGGGTAACTCTTCCTATGTCAATCCGAATCATCTCTAACAATATTCACTGTACAAATGTCATGCTTTCTTCCACATTTTAAACCCTGCAATTGATATCCATAATTTTCCTCCCATGCTGATGATGGAAATTCAAATCTTACAGTAGAATGTAAAATGCTGCATTTTATAACAAGATTATGTGAAAATTCATATATAGCCAGAGCATCCCACGTCTCAGAATGAGTTTCACCAAAATATTTTGCAAGGAAATCGTCTAATCATGGGGTTTGGGCATCCTGAATCCTTGGTTTTTGGGCATCCTGAATCATTTGGTGACGAGACTTCTAAACTTACAACGCAAACAATCAACAGCAGCAAATACTTTTTATTGTTTGGTTTTACACTGAATCTACCGCTTCGAGTTACAATCACTAACATTCTATTTCTATGTTTCTTTTCCCATGGAAATGTCTAGTTCATTGGAACAATACTCGCTGGAACAATCAATCTTGCAGTGGCATGGTGGCTGCTGAACTCCATTCATAACATATGTCAGGATGATCTGCTTCCGCCCAACAGTCCTTGGACATGTCCAGGTGATCGAGTCTTCTTTGATGCATCTGTCATATGGGGTTTGGTGGGACCTAAACGGATCTTTGGAAGTCTTGGAAACTATCAAGCCATGAATTGGTTCTTCCTTGGAGGTGCAGTGGGACCATTTATAGTTTGGGTGTTGCACAAATCATTCCCCAAGCAATCTTGGATTCCCCTGATTAACCTTCCAGTTCTTCTTTCTGGAATCAAACTGGACAATATGCCTCCAGCAAACAGCAGTAAACACAATTCCCTGGATCATAGTAGGAAACAATTTTCAATTTCTTTCGTCCTTTCCGCTACCGGAAAGCATTGGTGGCAGAGGTTCATAATTACATTTCTTTCAGCAGCACTGGATGCAGGGGTGGCCTTTCAATGGCAGTTTTTATTATACTTTTTACAAGTGGGTTGGAAAATAGAGTTTTAATTGGTGGGGCCAGAAGGCGAAACACTGTGATTTTTAGCAACTGTCCAACCGCCAAGGGAATAACGTGGTGAATGGTTGTCCATGAACTAATTGTATTCTTCTTCTATTGCAACCGTGTTCTGTTTTAAAGTTAAAGTGTTATGCAATAGTATAGAATTAGAAATATGGAGAAAAAGTTAAATCATTATCAAACCTACAGGAATGAGCAATTGTGACAACTCAAGGCTTTATATGAATTTATAATTTCTACTGTAAATTTAAGCTTCCCAATATAAGCCAAGTCTATTACAAAAATAGATTTGTTTAATCCAGGGAACATGATTCAAGTTTGAACTCCTAAGGAATAGAAAGGTCTTAATCAGATTGGAGTTTTCATCTTGACCATCAAAACCGACCATGCAAACCATTCAAAGACCATGCTTTTGAATGCAGTGAATAACCTTGCCGCACAAGAAATCCACTGACATAATGATTAAGCATTTTTAAACAAATAATGCTTTCATACCTTGATCTAATTCATTCGAATAAGTTTTATTTGAGAGCCATCTGAATTGTAATCTCATCCATTCCGTATGATGAAGGAGGCTGGAACTTCAGTGAGCACCTCCACCATTATGCCTTCGACGTTCACAAAGTTAATGGAATTCACTTGAGGATTCAGCCAAAATAATCAGAAATAAGCAGTTAAATTTCATCGTTTTCCAAGGTGCAAATACCTTTGCAATTTTCTGAGGTATCAGTAAGCAGTATCCTGCAACTCCTCAAAGCACATTTTAAGATTAATTTCGTGTGCATGTAGATAACAGCTCCTATGGGCCTGAATAAAATGACGTATACCTTATAGTGTTGGGCAGTTGTAACTAGTTAGCAATAAGCTCAATAATACTATAATGAAAATTATAAATGGGAAAATGAATAGACTTTGATCAGCATCGTAATGCACAGTTTAGGGAGACCACTGTGTGATAAAGCAGATAGAATTAATGAGATTTAAACATGAAAAATTAACAAATACAAATCAAAGTTTGGTCGACCCAATAACATATTAAGATTTAAGTCAGCTTCTATGTATAAATGAAACTGCCCCCAATATCCCTACCAACTACAATCAATGGGAATTTCGAAAACAATACTATGACTTGACAACTAAGAGAGATTTTGGGTCTAGATAACAAAAAACATTACTAAAAACACATTACCTTAGACCAGCTGCAGCACTTTTTACGCTAAGCTGCCTGCCAATTTCATCAGCTAAGTTGGAATAGCCATCTGCTCTAACTCCCTGTAATCAAGGAACAGGACTAATAAGATCACATAGAAGTTAACACCAGGAAGAAACTGTAGGTCAGGTTTAGAAACTCGAGGACAGAAAGAGAGAAAAGTGATGGAATACATCAAATGTTAGGTTAAAAATAGAATAAGAAGAAGAAGAAATGTTGGGGCATGGTTCAATGGTAATCAGGAAAGATTACTGCAAAAGATGATTTGAGAATAGAGATTTATAATACCAGGCACTCCCCATAAAATCCTCTACCCAGTCGAACTTTAAAAGCTTTATCCAGCAACTTGCTTGCAGAACTCTGACGAGAGGAAAAATAAGAATTTCCCTTGGCGATTAAATCGGAGGAACTTATCTCCAGTAACTACTAAATGGAAATTTAAAGAAACTTTAGTTATGATTAATATATTGGAAATGATGAAGAAATATGAAGAGAGGATGTTTCAGTTTTTTTTTTTATATATATATATTTATTTTAAACATCTTCTAGAAATATTCAAGCTTTCAAGCAATTGCAATAAATAATACACTGTTTGTAACTCAAATTTTGACATTTAAAGCATACTTCCATTCTTCTGTTCAGTCAAAATTAAATGACTAAACTAACTGCTGTTCACTTTAGGGCTTCTGTTTGATCCAGCTTAAAGAAAAATGTTAAAGGAACGTCCTAAAAGATTGTCAATAAAATTTGATCAAGAAATAGATCTCACAAATAAAAGTTATCCAACTAGTTATCCAATGATGCAATTCCTTATAAACTGTACTCCACATCGAATTCTCTTTATGACATTCATTAGGCAGTATTATAGATAGTACAACAGTCTACCCTCGCCAATAACTAGATACCCTAGGAACAAATTATAGAACATACCTTCATGAATCAAGCAACAACTAATTTCCCACAGAATATTTAAAAAAAAAAGGCTTGCAGATTTTTTTGTAGAGAGAGTAGTAAGAGAGTGTAGTAATATTGTAGAGAGAGTAAAGGTAGAGGAGAGTTTTTGAGAATTTTTTTGTAATGAATTTGTAAAATAAAATGAGCTTATTTTATAATTAAATCCAAAAATTCATTTTTCCGCAAAATACTCTTGAAACTAAGCCGTTTATGGCTGTTGGGAGGGTATTAAGAAGATTTCACCAACAAAACAAAAAAAAAAAAAAAAAAAAAACAGGTCTGACAGTTTACAAACGGCTGAACCGCCAGTTTTTAACCGGCCGGGGAACCGACGATCCAGTCCAGTTCGACCGTTCTCTGGAACCGGATTCCGGTTCCAGAAATTTTGGAACCTATATATATTTTAAACATCTTCTAGAAATATTCAAGCTTTCAAGCAATTGCAGTAAATAATACACTGTTTGTAACTCAAATTTTGACATTTAAAGCATATTTCCATTCTTCTGCTAAGTCAGAATTAAATGACTAAACTAACTGTTGTTCACTTTAGGGCTTCTGTTTCATCCAGCTTAAAGAAAAATGTTAAAGGAACCTCCTAAAAGATTGTCAATAAAATTTGATCAAGAAATAGATCTCACAAATAAAAGTTATCCAACTAGTTATCATTTGATGCAATTCCTTATAAACTATACTCCACATCGAATTCTCTTTATGACATTCATTGGGCAGTATTATAGATAGTACGACAGTCTACCATCGCCAATAACTAGATACCCTAGTAACAAATTATAGAACATACCTTCATGAATCAAGCAACAACTAATTTCCCACAGAAGATTTCCCGAAAACTAATGCATTCAGTTAATCACTTCCTACCTTTGATATTATAATCACTCAGAGTTACTGAGCCTCAATGCTAATTTCTAGATTTATATAAAGCACAAGTCTATTACAAAATAGATTGTAATCCAGGGAACATGATTCAAGTTTGAACTCCTAAGGATAGAAAGGTCTTAATTCAGATTGAGTTTCTTGACTCATCAACCGACATCCAAACCCATTACACCATGCTTTGATGGCAGTGAATAACTTAGAGCGTGGAGAGAGCTATCGAAAAACTGTCCAATAACTGGTGCTCAAGCCGGTATTCTTGCTGCTGGTGCATACGACACGGAGGGGAATTGGTGAACTTTACTAGAGATATTAACATGGGCCGACCAGTAAGGCCCACACCAAGATTAATTAGTACTTATAGGGCTGGATCCAGCCCAATTTCACTCTTTATTTCTTTTCCCTTTTATTTTCTTTATCGGTTAATTAAGACACTCCAAAGTCCATTTTATCTCCTGCCTACAACCACTCCGGCCACCCACTTTCTTGATCTTTTCCCTGCTCCTTAAGCTTCCTATTTGAAGTAGCAGCTAATTTAAGCTCATCAGCAATATCAGTATAGTTAGAGAGGTATGGATGTGAGTGATTAATTGGTGGGAAATTCAAGGTGTTTTGCCTGATAGCATTGTGGAACTAAACTGGCAAACAATTTGGCTAAGAAGAAATAAGCTGTTATGGAGCAAGTAATTTCCTTTCTTTTGCTACATCAAAATTCTTCTTAAAGTCTCAATGTTAGTAAAACTGTCTCCAAATTTGTGGGATTGAGATAAATGTGTAGATTATATGTACGATATAGTGATGTTCCATAATGGAATGTAAATTTTCAAATATTTTATGCAACTTGCTTTCGATAAATTTCAGTTATTTTTATTTTTTAACGTCTTAAAATTTGAGGTGGGTATGTGACAATCATAAACTATGCGATTCCTTCTAGTAAATTCATAAAGAATTTATTAAATAATTAGACTTTGTAATAAATAAGGTATACTTTTAAAATAAAATGATCTAAGCAGTTAGTTCACCTTTCTTATTATATATCTCTTCCTTGACATTCATGGCGTTACGTTCTATAAAATCATAATGCAGGACATACTCGTCTTCAAATGTTGAGGTCCTTGCAATTCTTCTGACTAAAAAGCATGAATAAGACTTGCTGCACCTAATATATGAGCCCAACCATATACCAAGTTTGTCCATAAAAAGTTTTTTAAAATATAATTACTATTGTATCCTTTTTTTTATAGTGAATATCAGAAAATACACAGAAAATCACTCATCTTAAACTAAAAAGCATGTCTTTGATTGATTCAATATATCGAATGAGTACATATATACATGAGTCAGTATAAGTATTTTCCCGAACGGCATAAAAAAGCATGAATAAGACTTGCTGCACCTAATATATGAGCCCAACCATATACCAAGTTTGTCCATAAAAAGTTTTTTAAAATATAATTACTATTGTATCCTTTTTTTTATAGTGAATATCAGAAAATACACTCATTTAAACTAAAAAGCATGTTTTGATTGATTTAATATATAATGAGTCAGTAAGTATTTTGCCAGAAAGCAAATACAGCTAACAATACTTGATATCCACTATGTAGTAGTTTGGTCAAATATAACTAAATATAATCAACTGTCACACATAATTAATTATGGGACGATGAACTTCAGGACTAAATATATATTTCATTATCTGGTTTTTTTATTCTCTTCTCATGTCACTTCAGGACTTGTATATTCGCAACGTTTCTAAGAAACTACATTTTTTTCCAAATGATAATAAATTGTCCAAGTCATCTATCAAGCCTCAATATGTGGAAGAAGTGGTTCTAAAATTTCTCACCTTATCTTTGCTCTTTGCATACCACCACTAATTTTATCGACAGTCACTTCCTGATGAAGACTGCTCGAAGCCAGACTTTTCAAGTCCTCTGTTCTGTCTTTAGAAATTTGTTCTAAACCAAAAGAGAAGTGGAGTCATTTACACGCCAAACGTTTACTCACCAATGTTTCATTTGGTAAACCTGAAAAAACTGTTTTCCTTTATGGAGAAAATAATAGAAAACTTAGCTTCATAGCTAGTATAGAATGCACTAGGAAAAGGGTAAAGTTTAATGTCCGCATGTTTACCAAACAAAGCCTTACACATGGGAAGTATCAGAAACATCATACTCCAACACGTACGCATTCGCTTAGACCAGTAAGAGTCATGCAGGATTCTTAGATGGGATCAGAACCAGATTCCTTCATTCATTGACTTAAAGTCTGCAAAATATTAGCCTCGTTTTATTCTACATAACAAAGTTCAAAAGCTAAAAGATTGGACAAAAATAGTGATAATAAGCAGAAACATCTATGCTTTTTCCATCTTGTTTCAGTCTCTCAAACGACATTGACTTTTGTCTTTACCCATGAAACGATAACATATTAGATAGTGAAATTTAGAGAACTTACATTGCAAGATCTTGAAGTGCTGACACTGCTTCGCAGTATAAGATATGAATTCCGGTAACCATAATTAACCATCTCACATGGTCTGGCTTATAAAGTCAAAGTTTGTCTTTTAAAGCAACACCCAAAAGGTAAAAAGGTACATTATTTCCCCTTTCTTTTCTCTCTTTTCTTTCTGCTCTTTGGTGGGAAGCGGAGGGTAAACTTGTGGATGATTTTAACGAGCTGAAATTAAATGGCTTATCACAGAAGTATCGAACTACTTTCTAATAACATCCCTTGCTGCAGACGAATAATTTAGTGTCCCACCATCAAAACTGCTATTTTATCCAAGAAGAGCAATCCACACAAATACCGATTTCCATTTGTTTGCTAACCATATTATGTCTCTTGGTTTCTTGGTTCCTTTAACTATTGCATAAACCCCATTCTCCTGCCGATGAGCTACCTTATATGTGCTCCGGATTACATTGAAAAGAATTGTCCCCATTAGATCCATTATCTAATTTCGGATCACATCGCGCACATGAACGAAATCTAATCTTTTCAACTTGTCCCACGAAGTATACATCCCCTTAGATCCTTCCACGCCAGACGAAACCAAAAATTCTGCCTTGCATCTTTACAAACAGTTCCCACTTACACATTTTATGTTTCTACCTGGCCCCACAGTTCGTTCGCCTTTACTTCAAAACCAATCCACATATGCAGGTCTAAACATATCAAACGCATCTGCTTCTGTCAACATTGGCCGATATAACACTCTAGAGCACTTCTGAATCCCCTAATTCCAAACTCACTCAGCGTGCTGATTATGTTGCTAGAGAAATTTTGTATCAACATAGAGGCCCAATATTAAATGTGAACTTCAAGACCCATCCTCAAAGATTTCAGTTCTTATGCCTTTCAAAATAAGCATTGAAAACTTGTCTCCCATGCCCTTCAAAGCTTTATATTCAGATGATGTTCCCACTTCCCCCTGCTAGGACAATCCTTCTCATTTCTCTGAAGACATACCATCCCCCTTGAGACAATGTTACCACGGCTAAACATAGAGGATTTGATCCCTCCAACAGAAGATAGCGCATGTTCGCTTGTCTGGACTGAGGACACTGATTATTGTGAGTAGAGAAGGTGAAGACAAGTAGAATTGAATCAAACGTTGAACTTGGAGGCAAGCTCAATATGGCACCAGCATATGCAGCTCCACTCCAAGTTTACACTCTCTGCTAGGTCAATCCAAGAAATACTGTTACATGTAAACTAATAGTGCAAGATGGTCCGTTTCCTGTGATTCTGGCTTCTATTACCTTGTTAGACTCCATGTTCTTGTGAGATTTCAAATTAATCAGCAAAGAAAGTCCAAAGAGTTTTCCAAAATATTTTATATTCAATAATCAAAAGTGCTCGAAGATCAATGCTGATATTTTCAAAATGGAGCCTTGGGGCAAGAATTCCCCATTACAAAGACTACATTGTTGATTTTTCTACAACATGGTGAAGGCCATAAAGACTATATCAATTTATGAGCCCTAACAATGGCTCATTGGCAGGTCCAATTTTAAACGGTTTGGAAATTTTCAAGTTGTCTGACCTTTCAAACAATCTTGCAGGACCCCATCCATTTGGATTTGGAGTTGGAACTCCACCGCATCTAAGTTTTTCAAAGCTTTCAAGTGATATTAAAGTTCATCGTCTAGTGATATTTGCTCATGTTCTACTGGGAAGCATCCTAGTAATAACGTTTCTTGGCTACATTTTTCTAACAATTTCAACCTGTTTTAGTCAACGTTTAAAAACTTCTAAGCAAGGGCAACCACCTGACCATTGCCGTGTCTTCTCAATTGGTGATATAAAGCTGGCAACAAACAATTTTTCAGAGAGTCTAATCATTGGCACTGGTGGATTCGGAAGAGTTTACAAGGGGCCAATTGATGATGGCAACATTATTGTTGCCATAAAGCGTGCCAATCCAAGTTCACACCAAGGTTTAAAAGAGTTCCAAACTGAAATTTCTATGCTTTCAAAGCTCAGACACTGCCACTTAGTATCTTTGATTGGATATTCCACAGAGAAAAATGAAATGATACTTGTTTATGATTATATGGCTCAAGGTACACTGCGTGATCACCTCTACAAGACTCAGAAACCTCCACTCCCATGGAAGCAGAGGCTTAAGATTTGTATTGGAGCAGCACGAGGACTGCACTACCTGCAACCTGCACACGGGTGCAAACAACACAATCATCCACCGCGATATAAAGAGTACCAACATACTGTTAGATGACAAATGGGTAGCAAAGGTTTCAGATTTTGGGTTAGCAAAAGTAGGTCCAAGTACAATGATGCTGTCTCAGACACACATTTCAACCATAGTAAAGGGCACCTTTGGTTACTTAGATCCTGAATATTATCGACGCAAAAAACTTACAGAAAAGTCTGATGTTTACTCATTTGGAGTGGTACTTTTTGAGACTTTATGTGCTAGGCCTGCTGTGATGCCAATGGGAGAAATTGAAGAGGAAGAATATGAGAAAGTAAATTTGGCAGAATGGGCATCAAATTGCTACCAAATGGGGACTCTTGATCAAATAATTGATCCATATTTGAAGGGAAAGATTGCCCCAGAATGCTTCAAGACTTTTACCAGTATAGCTAGGAAGTGTTTAGCAGATAAGATAGAGGAAGTGAAAGACCATCCATGGGAGATGTGCTTTGCAATTTGGAGCTTGCAATGCAGCAGCAGGATGCTGCTGATTTACTAGAGGACGGCTCAAAAGGTGGCCAATGGGAGGATGAATGGTGAAGTTACAATAAGTATTAATAACGAACAATGCATTCATTTGTATAATTCAGATAAAACTCCAGGGGTGGAGTTTTCTGAGATCATGGTTCCCATGGGACGTTGAGGAGAGACTCATTGTCAACTGAGATTCCCAGTCCATTGAGCTAAGCATCACTTATGTATGATACAGATAATAAGTAAATAGTCTACCTATGAACGTGTCTTCCTTTTCAATTCCTCATTCTTTATCAGCTAGCTAAATAAAAATTCCAACCATATATGCATGATGAGAAATTATTACTCCAGTGAATACAAGAATTTCACATACGTAAAATACCTTATTTTATGTTTGGCCAAATGGGTAATGTGTAATGACTAAAAATTCCAAAATTTTGACCTATCAACTGCCATATATTTTTCTTTCTTGAATTAATATTGACTCCTACTTTTAGCACTCTATGAATTATGGTCAGGTCAGCCCATAAGATATGTGCCAAAACACCTCAAATGCTTATAAACGAAAAAGATAGAGCAGTATAACAACAGAAAAAACAAAAAAAAAAAAAAAAAAAAAAAATTTTTGTTTCTTTTTTAAACAAAAATTTGTTTTAAACAAAAATTTGTTAGAAACACTAATAGCATTTTAATAAATTTAACAATTATCAAACATTATAATAATACATCAATAAGTGTATATAAAAATAATAATAATCCGAAGTTCCAAACCAAGAGAGCCAACTAATGTGTCCCTGCTGTTTCTGTATTAGCCATAATACTCAAATACATATATAATTCAGAAAAAAAAAAAAAATCCAATTATCAGATTTACCAAACATAAACAAGTAATTTCCTGGTAGGATGCATTATGCTATTTTCACAGTAAAAAATACGAATACCAGGAAAAAGAAAAAGAAAAACTCTACCGAATGGAACATAATTAAATCAAGAAGAGAAGATGTCTTGTTGGAACCTGAGGAGTTCAATGGAAGAATGGAAAATGGAAGCAAATGAATCAAAGAAAGCTCCTGAAACTGAAGAATAGCTTTTCTCTACAGTGTAAAACTTGGCTTTTCTTAACATTTACTTGTTCTTAAAATTGCTTCAAGAGAAGTAGCAGCAGCTAACCGTAATTTGAGCGATAAAGCCATCGAAGAAATCCCAAAACAAAATCACTTTTTATTATGGGAGATTGGAATTGGAGTGGGTTTGTGAGTGAGACTTGCATTTGGTTGAAATGGGCTGAATCGAAGCCCAATGAAGAGTTCTGAACAAAAGATTGGAGGCCGAGCTAATTACTTTAAAGTTGTTAGGGAAAAAAACAATATAAAATGCGACACTTTATAATTAAAATAGATTATAGTTTTTTTTAAATAATTTTTAATTAATATATAAACAATATTTTTTTATTCCAGAAGAAATGGAGATTTTATAAGTGTAACAAGATCAAGCCATCTGTTCGATGATGTTATTATTACTGTATGTTTTTTTTTTCCTAAAATGGATGTTAATTCAGGTAATAATCAACAATTCTGAAATAAAATTACAAATCACTATTAATTTAACTTCATGGATTTAAATATCACTATTAATTTCCATTAAAATAGGTGAAATTTTAAATAAATTTCCCAAATTTTATTCAATTAAAACTTTAAGCCACTCATTTCTCAAAAAAAAAAAAAAAAAAAAAAAAAAATATATAAACAATATTTTTTATTCCAGAAAAAATGGAGATTTTATAAGTGTAAAAGGAAAATCTATTAAGTATTAACTATCACCTTCCAATTAAAACTATGCAAAATCAAATTTAATTAAATCCTCAATTTCAATATTTAGTATGTTTCTAATACTAAGTGCATGTACAATCTGATAATAGATCTCGATTCGAATCTCATCCCCAGTATTCAAAATATATATATATAGTGTGTTAAAAAATATTTATTCAAATGATTTTATCCATAGTATCCAATTGCATCCGATTATATTATCATTCCATCCATTTTTTTTACTATGAGTTAAACAATTTAGATATATTGGTCTTCTCATTTATGTGAGGAGTGAGCAGTCTCGAGTTCGAGTCTTTTCGACCATCAGTTGTTTTCACCAATTTAATGAGCCAAGGAGAAGGCTACCCCCTATTGTGTAGCCCGCAGTATTATTTTGGCCCTTAAAACCTCCAATGAATTAAAAAAAAAATAGATATAATTACTATTTTATTTTTATATTTTGTTAAAATTAACTATTTTATTCTTGTATTTTTTTAGGGTCAATACGTTCTATTTTTAAAATGAGAATGAGAAAATAGCTAATATCAATAACATATAAAGATAAAATAATAATTATTTCTAAAAT